ATAGAAGCGAGATTAATAGAAAGTAGGAAGAAGCGCCAGGGATTTAGCTCAGTGGCTCTGCCACCTGCCTTGCAAGTGCAAGGACCCAAGTTTGATCCCCAGTACCAAGAAAAAAAAAAGTAGGAAGAAGTTCAAATACTTCCCTAAATTACATATTCCACTGTTTTAAAAATATTTCATTATAAATGCTAATTTGTTTCATTTATACTAATAGTTTATCTTAGTTCACTGAAAATGTTTGCATTGTTTCTTTTTTATAAGAATCTTTTTGGCTCATGTCTTGTACCAGTAATGACTTTGAAGCTGGGCATGGTGGCACACACCTGTAATCCCAGCACTTGGGAGGCTGAGGCAGGAGGATAGCTGTGAATTCGAGACCAGTCTGGGCTACAGAGTGAGTTCCAGGTCAGTCTCAACTACATAGTGAGACCCTGTCTCAAAAAACAAAACAAAACCAAGTAACGACTTTGAAAAAAATGACACACAGTGTAATAACTATAGTTATTCTTTTAACTATTCATTTGGGTATGAAAATTTATTACAATTTTTTCATAAAATAAAAAGAAAAAATTTAAAAGCTATCTGAATTTAACACAGAATGATGATGAAAATAACTAAAGGAAAAAAGGCATACTAGTAAACTGAACTTTAGGGAATATCCTCTGGGTTACCAAAAGAGCATGGTACATACTTCCATTATACTTCCATAATGAACATATTTCCAGGATAGTTCTCATCATACTGCATTTCCCTGTGCCAAGGCAGAGCTTCAATAAAAGTTTACTAAATAAAAGGGTAAATAGTTAGGGACCAGAGAATAAAGGGGTAAAAAGAGAACATAAACAAGGAGAATAGGGGCTAGGGATTTAGCTCAGTGCTGCCATTGCCTGCCATACAAGGTCCCAAGTTCAATCTCCTGTACCAAAAAAAGAAGAAACCAAAACAAGGAGAACAGGCAGACTGCCTCAGTCATTACTTATTACACAGCATAAATATAATAAAAAATTATGTACTGTTTTATACAGGAAAGTATCTGCATAATTACAGATCTGGAGAAAAGGTACCTTAATAAAACCCTGGGAGAAAAGACTGAAGAGTAAAGAAGACTGAATTTGGATGGCTGTACAACATCCAGTTTCGCTAAACAGAGGTGATCTTATTTTAGGCACTCAGAGAAACTGAGTGATGAAGACCACAGTATAGTTAAACAGAACTGTATAGATACAGTACATAATTCTTTAGCATCCAGAAACTTGATGATTAATGAATCAGCTGCCAGAGTCTCCCTGATGAAGCTAATTAAACAGTATAAATATTAGTGAACATATGCATTTAAAGCAGTTTCCTAAACTATTATGGGAATATTAAATAATAACAGTAATAAAGGCATAACTAATGGCATAAAAGCCAACAAGCTAAAAGATTTAAGTCTTAGTCTTGGCCAATTTCCTTTGTTGGCATCCCTAATTCACACTGATTAGTATGAATAAATATCATTATGGAATAGAGGTTAATATTACGAGCCCTGACACCTAGAAAGAAAACTTAAGTTGCAATTGTCTATAAATGTGACTGACCAAGAACAAACAACTCAATTTTTATTGTAAACTCGGTGTACAAGATTTCATATTTGTATAAAGAGCCACCCACTCTTTAGCATGATATAAAAACAGATAAAATAAAATGCTTTGAGCTTTTAAAATAATAGTTAAGGGCCAGAAATTTAGCTCAGTGGTTCTGTTGCCTGCCTTGCAAGAACAAGGTCATGAGTTTGATCCTCAGTACCAAAAAAAAAAAAAAAAAATCTAAAATAATAGTTACATTAAAACTAAGTCACCATGATACAAATGGTATAAAATTTGTATTAATAAATAATAAATAAGTGGTTATCCTGTAAACTACTCAATTCAATTCTTCCTCCCTGATAATAACACCATTCTTTGTTCTTATGGGCATTTCATTTTTTAAGCCACTTTCACAAATATTAATTGAAGAAGCCTCATATATAATCTGACCACTCCTGGTAGAAGCACCTTAAGTACAGATTTATGTGGCAGGAAATATTTCCATCACTTCCCTAATGCTAAGAATACTCTCACTTTTTTTTTTCTTTTTTGGAGACAAGGCCTTACTCTGTAGTTCAGGCTATCCTTGAGCTCACTATGTAGCCTGGAATTTGTGGCAATCCTCCTGCCTCAGCTCCTGACTGCTGGGATTATACCAGGCCTGCTCCCTTTCATTTAAATGGCTTTTCACCACTTTCATACATATTAACTGGAGCAGTAGCATTAGGAATGATCTTTCCATTCTTTGCATCATCCCAAGGGCATAATCCAAAAAAGAAGATCAACTAAAAATTGATAAATAAACTAGGTGACTATGAGGCAGTTAAACCATGATTCTTGAACTTAGATTCAGGTCTCCCCAAAGTCTTACAATCAGAGCAACTCCCCAGAATAAGCTGATTCTCTCTTTTTCCAGGCATATGCTTGAGGAGGAAACAGAAAAGAGTATTTAAGATATCATTAATATGAGCATTAAAAAATCAAATCTTTTTTGTTCACTAATGTAATTCCTCTATATTGAGCATAGGCCTAACACAAAGTAAATATTAAACAAATCTTCATTGTGATTATTACTAACAGTAGAACGTTCTACCCAAACTGTCATAAAATATCTGTTCAGGAGCAGAGAACTAAAATCTCATTTTGTTGTTGTTGTATAACTTCCTCCACAATTATTGCTTTTAAATGTGTGTATAAGAAAGTGGAACCTAAACAAAATTAGGGCCACAGAGCAAGTCTTTTAAAAACCTAATGAGAAAAATCTGTAAGTTAGAGTCATAAAGCCAAAACAACTGCAAAAAGCAAAGAGGAATATACCCTGACAAACCTTCACTCAGCAAGCAAGCTCTTTTAAGTCCCCAATCTTAAACTAAAAATTACTTCACTGAAGCAGTTTCAAAAGGTAGAGTTAGTTCTTACATATTTGTGTATTTACAGTATCCACCTTGTAAATAAATTGGAAATATAGTTTCTTGTTCTTTGATAGGGCCAAAATGTAAGAAACTACAGTTGTTTGACTTATGCAATAAATGAGTTGCTGGAAATTGGGTATAAAATTTTAAACTGATTTGAATTTTACAAACTACTAAGAAAATATGTCACTTAAAAAATTCAATGGCAAGTTGGTCATGGTGGCACATGCCTGTAATCCCAGCACTCAGGAGGCTGAGGCAAGAGGATCAACATGAGTTCAAGGCCAGCCTGGGCTTACACAGTAAGTTTGAGGTCTGCTTGCACTACAAAGTTAGACCTATTTAAAAAAAAAAAAAAAAAAAAAAAAACACCACAAAAATCCAATGAACTGGGTGTAGTGGCACACACCTGTAATTCCAGCTATCAAGGGGACTGACGCAAAAAGAACAGCAAGTTTTAGACGAGTCTAGAAAACTACCAAGGCCCTACTCAAAATCCCTCCCCCCTCCCTCCCTTTCCTTCTCCCTTTCTCTCACAAACACACACACACACACACACACACACACACACACACACACATATACACACAAAGGACAATGACAATACATTTTTAAAATGTATTTTATAACATTAACCTTTCTAATGTGCCTTTTTGGTTGTTTCTATTTTAATACACAATATGTTTTTTTCAAAGAGGACTAATGTAAGCTTTTAAAAAATAATCTAACTTCCATATTTAGTTGGGGAAAGTTTCTTTTTTAAAAAGTTTTATGACGGTCAACCTTAACTGGCTTGAGAGACACCTCGGAGTAAAGCACATTTCCTGGTGTAGGGTGAGTCATGGGGGTGTGACCTTGGAGACTATATCTGGTTCCTGGTGTCTTCCTCTCTAGTTCTTCTCCCATAAGGTTAGCAGCTTTTCTATGCCATGCCCTTCCACCATGATATTTCAGCCTCAGAGCCAGCTGACCATAGACTGAAAACTCTGAAACTATGAGCTTAAATAAACCTTTTCTCTTTTAGTTGTATATGTTGAGTATTTTGTTCCAGCAAAAAAAAGCTATATAATACAAATTTAACTTGTAAACTCTATAAATCAACTCATTAAGAAAAGATAGGTACATGGGCCGGGGATTTAGCTCAGTGTTTCCACCACCTGCTTTGCAAGTGCAAGGTCCCGAGTTCAATCCCTGAGTACCACAAAAATAAAAAATAAAAAAAAAGAAAACATAGGTACATTAGATACTTATAAATCAAACAACCACAAAAATAAAAATGAAAGCACAATTCTTAGGTCATTTTGGTCTTCTTAAGTGTTTTGGGCGGGGCGTGGTGGCTCACGCCTGCAATCCCAGCACTCGGGAGGCTGAGGAAGGAGGATTGCTGTGAGTTTAAGACCAGCCTGGGCTAAACAGTGAGTTCCAGGTCAGTCTCAACTACATAGTGAAACCCTGTCTCAAAAAGCAAACAAAAAAACAGAAACAAAAAAAAATAAGTGTTTTGTCCTTTTGGCTTGTAAATTATTCTCAAATCAAAGAAGAAAAGCAATACTTCAGATAAAAAGCTCCTAAACCATACCAACTTTGGCAGATTATGTGGAAAACAGTATTGCTACTAGCCAAGATTACTTATAGTAAAAATATCTGTCACATCTTCTTTCTTTGAAGAACATAAAAACAAGTATTTTACTATAATTTTTATTTTATACCTGGGAAGCTTTTGCCTGAGTTTGTATAGAGACTATTCAGAGAATCTACCATGGCATAGGTATCTTGCCTACTTCTATTTCTACAGTTTTATAGATCATCTTTCAGTAGAGTTGCCAGATTAAATGCAGGATAAAGTATTTCATGAGATATACTTATACTACAAAATTATCTCAAATTCAAATTTACTTAGGCATGCTGTATTTTTAGTTACTAAGTCTGTCAGCTATATCTTTCAGTATAGGTCAATTTCAGAAAATACCAAATTCATTGCCAGGAAGAAACTTAGTCTCATAGAAGTTGGTTAATTCCTTACCTTTCAGGAACTTCTTGAGGACCAAGCCACCACAAATGCTTCTTACAGAAGCAACTGTAAAAAATAGAATACAAGGAAATATGACAAGTAAGACAAATAAATGGATTTCACTTTAAAAATCAGGGCTACTTGTGTGGATAGGGAGGGAGGGAAGTGGTTGAAGGGAGGGCAGGGTAATGAGAAAAAAAAAAAAAAAAGAACCAAGGTTGGTTACGTAAAGGTACAAATTTCCAACAATGAGTATCATTATATTGTATATATTAAATGTACCAATAAATTTTTAAAAATCATGGCTAGTTGTATAGATAAGCAGCAGGCTACTTGCCTAGCATGCACAAAGGTCCTGGGTTTAATTCCTGGCACCTCAAAAAAACATCAAATGAGAATCTGAAACACTGCTTTAAAATATCTAACATTTAAAAAGAGATCCTACTAATGAATTCAGTTTTTTAAAATGGAAATAGGATTTGTAGGCCTGGGTAGGGTGGGAACAAAGTTGAGATGGGGTGGCAGCAGCAGAAGACGACCACACTTTCTTTGTGGGCAACCATGAAACTAAAGTGACAGAAGAGCTGCTTTCTGTGCTGTTCTACCAGACTGGGCCAGGGCTAAAAGTGAAAATTCCAATAGATAAGGATGATAAACCAAAGTAATTTGCATTTGTGAATTTTAAACACAATGCAATGAATCTACTTAATGGAATCAAACTTTTTGGAAAGCCATCAAAATTTATAAATTCATGGTATGGGAGCAGCGGGTTGAACCCGTAGATGCATGATAATTACTGGCAACCCCAGAGGCCTCCACAGAGAAATGCACCAGTGGAATAAAGCAGTGGATGCAGTGGATGCAGTGGACTGCAGTGGCTGGTGAGTTATTCAGGTGCAGACATCACTCAGAAAGAAGTTGGTTGGTAGCCATCTTGGAGAGGAGCCACATGAGCTACGAACTCTGGATAGCTACTACCTATTCCATCCAGTTGCTCCTCCTGTCTTGGTGAGGATGCCAAGTTCAGGTCAGCAGGAGGTCAGGGAGGAGTTCAAGCCAGCAGGAGGCACACAAACTGTTGCAGGCTCAACAAATCCGGTTCCAGCATAATAAGCAGAAACCAGCCTGAACTTCCGTGGAACTAATGGTGTAGGCTGGCTGAGATTATGCACCACTTCACCATAAAGCTATAGTGGGCTTGCTGGGATTAATCAATTCAGCTCTGGACTCTTTCTGCCCACACTGTCTACAACTGACAGCAGAAATATGCTTTGAACTTCTTTTTCCTTTTTCCTATTCTGGTTTTTATTTCTTCTTGTTTCTAGTTTTTCTGTTGTTTTGTTCTGTTGTTTTTATTTCTTCCTTTCACTTTCCCTCCTGTCTTCATCAGTTTCCCATAATTTTTATGATCTTCCTTTGCCCTTCAGCCTTGCTTCTAATATCTTCCTTTTCTTCTACTTATTTTCACCCAATCCCATTTAAATCTTCTCCCCTAAGGGTAAATTTCCATATTATGGGTTTACTTGTTGCATACAATTTTTTGATTCATTTTGGATTTTGCTTTATAACCACAAATCTAGTTCATTATGGTTAAAGGTGGCAAATTAATAGTTACCAGTTTGTCATTTTCTAGGCTATGTTTGATGTCAGTGTTATTACTGATTGGACTACTCTAGCCGAGGTAACATAATTGTGCTAGTCAGTTATTCTTCCTAGTATACCAAGACTGATATTGCCTAAGGGTCTAAAAAATAATTATAGGCCAGTGCAAAAGAACGGGCACCTTGGCCAAGTAGGCAGAAAAAAATAGAGAAAAAAATGAAAACACCAAAGAAGAACTATGAGGCTAAAATGACTATCTGTAGGCAGAATAACTTCTTGGAAATGATACTCCAAAAGCAAGTCTTTTCACATATACTCAACAATTATCTGTGATTAACACCAAGACTGTCCCTTGAATGTTATTTTACAGTACCTAGTAGAAAAGAACTATGTGAAGATGGAATTTTCAGCTAATCCAGAGTATTCAATTTTAAAAATTCACACTCCAGTATAACAGTAAGTCAAATCTTTGGTCTTTCTTTTAACCAATGCATTCTTTTTTTTTTTTTCCAGTACTAGGAATGGAACTCAGGACCTTGTGTTTGCCAGGTAGGTGCAGCACCACTAAGCTAAATCCCTAGCCCTAACCAATGTATTTTTTTATTTTTGAGACAGAGTCTCACTATACAGTTGAGATTGACCTGGAACTCACTATGTAGCACAGGCTGGTCTCCAACTCACAGCAATCCTCCTGCCTCAGCCTCCTGAGTGCTAGGGTTATAGGTGTGCGCCACCATGCCCGGCCTAACCAAAGTATTCTTAAAAGATATTTTACTAGGCTATCAGATAAAAATTCTTTGTACCTACAGTCCTAAATGTGAACATTAGAACTGTCAGAGCAGTGATAGTGAATCTTTTAGAGCTTTCAATGATTCAAACAGCTCTCTACAACATGTGTGCCATAGATTCACCACTTCTGATTTAGAGTAATAATTCTTTGGAACAAAGGAAGAAACAGGCTCATAAAAAAGATCAAAACTACTTGGAGTCCCCTAGAATATGCCTTTCCCCAACAGGACATGACTCCACTGCATAATAAAATGTATCTTCCCTCAGAAAATGTATATATTTTTCCATCTGTGAATATTTATGATAAAAAAATCACAAGTTATGTTTTACAACTTGATAAATAGGACAAATATTACAAAAATCACAAAATCAATTTTTATTAACTTCTTGACATATCTATATATTACTTTTTAGCTGTATATTCTTTGATTGTGGCTTCATAATATGACAGGGTTGCAATACCTTTTTGTTCATACAGAAAGAATTCAGTCTTTCCTTTGGCATGGTTGATTAAAATTTGTGGTGAGTGCAAAATAAATATGTCTCCATACACAAGTAACCTAGCTGGCTGTGATGCAGGTTTGTGATAGGTATTAATGAATTCTCTGTTAAGAGATTTTTCTTATCTGATTATCTGACACAGAATAATTTCTGGTTCTATACATTTCAAACCTTGTTTCTTCTCTAATACCCACTTCACCCTCAGGGTCAGGCACCTGAGGACACAGTCATTTTGCTAAGACCTCTGGCCCTGCACTCTGGAGTCACAAAACACATGACCAGGTAAGCACGGAGCAGTGCTCTGGTGGGACTCGATGTTTAATCTTTCACAGCCACTGCTGGGGAAGAACATGGGAAGGAATGGTGAGCAAATGCACACAAAAGTTCAGGTCTCCTGATTGCAGGCCAGTTTTTCCTACTGAACATATTTTTAAAAGACTTCTTAAAATCTTCTCCATTAAAAAATACAATCTTCTTATTTTTATTTTTCTATGTGATTCTTTAAGTAAATTTAAATTTTATCCTGGAAAGCATAATTTGATCCATCGTCAGTACCATTTATTTGAATAAATACAAGCCTGAAATCAGAAAAGAATCCCGACAGCAACGTGCTGCTTCAGACCTCCACTGGTCAGACTGCTTCTGTTATCATCTCCTTCAGAGGACACATTACTATTTCAATTAATCTACTAATGACAAAAATATTTTGAAATCCCTAATGTTTAATGCCTACATTTTATTATGCTCTTTTGAAGAGTCCATGGTTATCCATAATTATGAAAATTAGTTTTCTTAGGAAAAAGAAAACCATTTATAAAGGAAGATGCCTTCATTTCATTAACTACAACAATGAAAGACAAACCTGTATCTTCTACTGCTGTACTTCTGAGATGTTATTATTTCAAAAATAAGGAAATAACTTTCTTGATACACTGTGCAAGATACCCAAGACAAATATGGCAGGGAATGTGCCAAATATTGCTGTAGTCAAAGATAAAGATGCTTAATTTAACTACCATCTTATAGTAACTTTGTTCTGAGACACTGAGGAAATTCCTTTAAGGAATTCCATTCAGTACCATATAATGTTAATATGAATAATATATTAAACTCTAATGTTAGCAAAGAACGGTACTCAAGATTGGCTTTAAGCTTCTTGCCTCAATAAGAAGATAACAGGACCTTAAATTCTGACTTAAAAAAAAAAATCAACCTAACCTTCCCTTCCATCCTTTACCTCATTCTGAAGCTTGTTCTAAAGGCAACTGTCAAGAACAGGATTAAAATGGTAATATTCACCCACAAACCTAAATAAACAAAAGTACAAGGATATATAAAGCCATCAGAGACAATATAGAAGGCTGCCCATGGAACTGTTCTTTGCTCTCTGTTTTTAGAAAAAACTGTGATCATTTTTAAAGCTAAAAACTTTTGTTTGGAAACTCCTATACTTAAAGGATAAAGAACAGTACATCATGTCCACAAACCAAAGATTATGAAAATCTGCAATACTTGTTGAAAGAAGAGACCTTTTAATGGAAACATAAAACTTGGGAAGAAAAACTTAAAAAGAAGGACATAGATAAGTCTCTATATTTTTCATTCCATTTGTAAGTTTTCTGCTTTATGTATGGCTTCAGTAAAAGTATATTCTATGTAATTACTAGGCACAGTATTTAAGAGAATAAACTCATTAGCCCCTTTCCTTATTAAAAAAAAAACTTAAATATCAAATAAGCATGCTATATACAACTGACTTGTACTTCATGCTCCCCAGTGTTAGATGTAGGCTTCAAAATTAAACTATGAATTTCAAACTCTTTATTGCAGATAGGTTTTGTGAGCCTGGACTTGGCGTGAAAGACATGTTGTCCATTCCCTGGGCTCTTCAGTGTTTTTGTTGGTCTCAATACTGGGGTCTGCATCGCTGGAATATCTTAAACAATGAGTTTTGGAAATCAAAAAGCTCCACTGGTTTCAGCCACTCTGATGGAAGAGGCAGACAGGAGGGAAGACATTTCAGTGGCAAACAGTATGGATCAATGACTGAGGACCACACAGGATGTTAGGCATCTCAGAAGATTTCCTTCTTTCTTTTCTGCATTTATTGTTTTTCTATTCTCTCTTTTTTCTTATTATTCCTTTGGTAGCATCTTCAGTTCTTGAATCTGTCT